GACAGGAATCGGTGGACAGGCACCAGAGTCCCTGGAATTTGTTGGTGGTTAAGGGGTTACCAGACGTGAGCAGCTTTTTAGGCTCAGCCCTAGTCAGTGAGCTCAGCCAAACTCTTACAAAGGCTCCTCTGCCATCAAACCCACCCCTTTAGGCTGTCTGGGAATCAGGACAGGGCTATTCGAGGATAACAATCTCATTAGCATTCCTCTGCTCAGCCCTTTACTTCCTTCATCCTAAATTTTAGTAAGGGACAACTAACCCTACAGGATTTTCTGGGGAGCGATTCTCCCTCGAATAATGTGTTTATACTGATTTTATTGGTCACCAGCTTGTTCCCAGGGCCTGTCACACATTTACTGCAAAAATACCCCTGCAAGGATCATCATTAAAAAGATCAGTACTATGCTCTTCCTACTCTTACTTTCACAACAACTTCCAACTCTACAAATCCAGCAGGATGTGATTTTTCTCATCTCTTAACAGAGGCTTTTCTTTCTCCTCGTTTCCACAGCACAGAGCACCCTCCAGGGTTACTCCTGCTGGAATTCACATATGGAAGCTGGCAGGTAAATTGCAGAGCCCAACACTTCCTTACTCCTTCACAGTGCAGATACAGTTATTTCAAATAATAAGCAGCCCGTAGCACCAATATGTGTGTCTGGCATCTGTCCTCAAGATCAAGTTCTTCTGAAACCTTTTCCTCAGGAATTAGGGTAAGGGATGTTTTCTCTCTGACCTCTGTGTGGAGACAGAAGACACTTTGCAGAAGCAGAGTGGGTTTGACTTATTTTTCTGATGTATAAAAGCATCCTGGTGCAAAGGTACAAGTGAGATTTACACAGAGGTGACCAGGGCTTTGAAGTACCTGCTTTAGGTACTAAGAGTTGCTGCTACCAGAGCCAGGGATTCCTGGGCTCTGAAGTTGGACTGTGCCACAACCACTTTACACCTGGGAGTGCTTTACGTTTAGACACTAAACACGATGTACCACCCTCCTGCAGTGAAACAGGGCAGGCTGAAGACAAGGTGCAGAGCTGTTTAAGATGAGGGTATTAGCTAAGAAAAGGCTACTATAAAAATTAAATTTAGTATTTTGATGTACTCATTTCAACTGCACATTCTAAGGGAACTTAAAATACTTAGGGGAGATGGAGACCTTCAAAATAGTTAACTGCTACCCTCAGAGAGAAGGAAGTGACTGCTCTGCAGCCAAGGCCTGGCCTGGCTGAGGGACTCAGCAGCCTCTGGTGACAGATGAGTGACAAATGCCACCATAAGTGGGGCTCCAAGCCTGTCCTTGTGACTTAGAACTTGTGCTTTCTTTCAGCTGCAGTGTAGCTGTAAGGTTATGTCACTGCCTGACATTTAATCCATTTCATACAAACCCAAACAAAATCTTGCATACTAATGAGTGTCGTGTACAGAGCAGTAACTTATCTCTGCACAAGAGCAAGAACGAGTCACTGCATGGCAAGATTTTATAATCTGGATATGCTATTTAAATAAAATCTGTACCAGTAGCTGCTTGTTAGCACTTCACCACTCCACAAAGGCCCCAGAGAAACTGCTGCCATTGCAGCAGGAGAAGGCTGGAGTTTTATTAAGGGATTGCACCCTCTTTGTTAGGGGGATGCAACAGAAAGTCACAGCTGGGAACACAAGTTATCAAGGCTTGACTTCCACACAACACACAACTTGTGCCTGCTTAACTACAGTACAACTTCATCCAGACTCAGCCTCCTGCATCCAAAACCCTTTCAAGCCCCAAATCCTCACTAGGGAGGCTCAGGCTGGAAGAACTGGCCCCAGCCAGTTTTATCCATGTGAACGGGGATGTGATGTGGCTTGAATTTCAGCTGTGATGAAAACACCTCAAAACTCCAGAAATAAAACTGTCAGCAGAATATACTTACCAGGGTTTTAACAAGTGATATTTTAATTTGTTGGGGAAGGCAAGAGGGTTTGGGGAAGAGAAAGAAACGTTATGCAGGAAGCTGCTGAATCACAGGTGTTAAAACATGCACATTTTCAAGAGCTGGAGTTTCAGTGTGGTGACATGACACAGATCAAGAGTTTAGCAGACACTGGTTAACATGCCAAACATCTATAACAAACCACTGTGGCCTAGCTTGGTTTATTGGGAATCACTTTAGTAACCTGAAGTCACAAATAAGCAGTAAATAACAAAAACTACAGATAAACACAGGTTACACATGCAAATTCCTGTTCACATCTCACATGTGCAGGTACATTAAGAGCACAGTTCTAAAGAGTCTTGACAAAACCAGATTTTAACAGAAAACAGTGTTAAAATGCGGGTATGAAAAATTCCACATGGAGAATATAAAGATACCTTTGTCCACTTTGGGACTCCAATGCTGCTTTTGAGAAACCAGAGATGTACAACAGCAACGAGATTCAAGTAAAAGCAGGAAGAGCTCAAGGAAATAATACTGGTTGGAGAGAATGGGCATTTACTTCTCACTAAAAATACACAGAATAGCTGAATAGGAAAGTCTAGCAAGAGCTTAGGAAAAAAAGTCACAAAGTTGTAAAGCTGGCTAATCACTAATTTTCCCTATTTGCTATAGATAACAGCAGTGACATTAAAAGAAATTGCAATTCAACATTTAAAAATGCAACTTACATTTAAAGACTTTTCCAAAGTGAAATGCAATGACAGCCTTACTCTCAAAATTAAATAGCTGCTAGGCTCAGACCAAAATATGGAATGTTCTAGATAAAATAAAAATACAGTGTTACTTTTCATTTTTTATTCAGAATGGAGTTGAAAGACAATTTCTGAAGCTTGAAAGTAGTAAATCTCATTTGAACAAGGTTTTCTTCTCATAGATGAGCTTTCCACGAGAGTGCAGGATTTTTTTTTCTGTAATAGCTTGAAGTGTCAAAACAAAAACTTGTTGCCATTCTCACATTAAGAACAAATTGTTGTCATTAACTTAACTGCATATGCTTTTTCCTACAACATTTAACACATGAACAGACCTATAATGCCTACTGTATCTCACTAAAACAAAAAAGAATACAGTATTTCATCTACTACTTGTACTGCTTTAAAAAAGATTAACATTAAAAACAAAGCCACATTTTCCTTACATCCTTCCTTCTTTTTAAGCTTCTTTCTTTTGCCTGTAGTCTTCTGCCATTTTATCCAGAATTTTCTGTTAAAAGAAATTATATTTGGGATATATTTAGAGAGTTTTTCACAGTCACAACATTAAGAATAGAAACATAAATCCAATTTACAAGTTTAACATCTGTGAACATCAATTGCAAAGGTCACAGCTAACAAGGCTGGCACTTCTCCCAACCCTGAAGTGGAGTTTGAGCTCCTCTTGGCAAGCCAAGGGAATTCCTTTCCATTTTGTCATGGACTTGTGACAGCGATTGTGCCACTTACCTGGGTGGAATCTGCCACCTACAAAGGCAGGGACAAAACACCTCCCCTCCCTGGAGAAGGCTTGTTTTGGAAGTTTGAGGAACTTGTTACCACTCTGACCACATTTGGTAGCAACATCAATTCACCTATTTATTTTTTCCTGCTCTCCAAGGGAAGGAGACTCCCAGCTCCAGAAGTGCCACTGTGAGACAGAAGCTGCATTTCCCCCTTCCCTCCCCAGTTCCAAACCCCACCAATGTCATACAGTCACTCACAACTTGCTAGTCATGTGTGCCATGGAAAAAGCAGAGCAACTCATGTTTCATTTAAGCAATAAAGTTAATAAATTGGCATTATCCCCCCTCCCCTTTTTATATCAAGGCTTTAATGTCCCATAACCTGGTACCTCAATGGAAAAAAAAAAAAAAAAGAAAAAACACTATGGTGATGGATGAGGTGGGATTTCTTTCTACAAGACCCTGCATGGGAACTGATTACCTGATCTACTTCTTGATAATGTTGTTTGCTTTTTTGTGCCATCTGCCTTCCTGGGCCCTGTATTTATTTAGGGTTTCCTGTTATTGCAAGGAGAAGGCAAATGTTTGGAGTCTGAGGTGCCACCTCTTCCTTTTCTGTGGAGTCCCTGGGGTTTGCTCTCAGCTCAGGGATGAACTGCTATAAATCCACTTCTGATATAAATCCATCAACACTGCATGACTACCAGAATTTGGTTCAGCACTGTGCCCTTTCCTAGAGGTGATATTTAAAGCAGCTCACAGTAAGAGGATACAGCAGCAGCATTATCACTCATGCCATGCAATCATGTGATACCTCATCCAGTTCGAAAATTGAAAAACTGCTCACAAAATCAGAAGTTGCAAATGTTTGGGGGTTTTAAACACACAAAAACTTCATCTTAAGCTTTGTTGATTGGTTAAAAACCATCTTGAAGGGACAACTGGAAGGGATCTGAGCCATCTGTATTTAGTCTGCAATGCTACTTCTAAGCCTGGTCTTTACTCCAACTGGAATTCCCTCTTTAATCCAAATTTACAGGGAAAAAATGCTGAAGCCCAACTCTAAGCTGTGTATTCTGCATATTATTTTCACAAGATGAAGTTCTGAGAGGTCTACCTGGAGTTAAAAGATAGAGAATAAGCCAATTTCCCCTGCCTGAAAGGTATTTTTTCTCCTCAGTCCAGTCTCGTTGAATTCTATTCCCCAGAAAGAATCACGCCAGTTAAAATGAACAAGTTTTTGCCTTACCTTCAACTTTTGATAATGAGGAAGGCTGCTGCAATGGGTCTTTTTTGCAACATCTTCATTTGTGTAGAACAGGGAACACAATTTGCAATAAAACCCTGTTTTGGGTACCACATAATTCACACCTAGAGGAGTAAACACCACAAAATAAACTAAGAGATCTACTCTACATCATTTCTTTTAATGTCATATGTCATTTCAGCTAAATCTTAAAACCATAATTCACTTTACATTAAAAAGCTGCTTTATCTTTTAAAAGTCCTTGTTTTAGTTTAGTCAAGCCAGGGCCTAGTAATAACTAAATATGTGCAGGCTTTTTTGTATTTTTTTTTTAATTTAAAAGCAACCTTTCAGATTAAGAGTCCATTTTATTGGTTCCTTCAAAAGAACTCACAATGTTCTGTGATCAGTTTTGGAGTATTTAGTATGACTCTAAACTGTTACCACTGTTGTGCTTTGAGCTAGTAATGGAATTTGTGTTGCTAAAATACGCCTCTTTCAACTTAATTTCTGCCTAAGGAAAGTGTTATGGAGAACTGTATGAAAATAAGGGGAAAAAAAGAAAGAAAATACTCAGGTTAGGGGAGGACTGAAGAACAGGGAAGAAGGGGAGACCCTAAAATGAAAGGTTATGGGGCAATGTGTTGCCAAAAATAAAAGTCAGATGAAATGAGAAATGCTACTGCAATGCACAGAGAGTACTGGAAAAGAAATGGAAGCAGCCTTACCAACAGGAACGTTTGGCTGGTACGGCCCAATCCTAAATTCATCTGGAACTAGAGGTTTCTCTTGGACGTTCTTGGTTTCCTGCTCATCCTGGGGGTCTGTGTTTTCCTGGGCGTTTTTCTCAGCATCCTGTGCTGTTGTGGCATCTGCAGCTTCAACAGGTTCAGTCTTCATGGTGACTTCGGTTTTCGTTCCGTTCTCTAACATCTCGTTCTCCTGCTCTGGCTCCTCGATCTTGTCCACCTTGATCTCTGCCAAACTGTCCTCGTTCTTGCCTCCTGCCTTCCCTGCCAGGCCTGACTTGCGGAGTTTCTGGTGATCGGAGTCCTCCTCGTCCCCCACCTCGTCCAGGGTCACAAAGCCCTCCATGCTCCGTGGGAAGCCGCCCACGTAGCGCTGTGGGGAAAATGGGGGCCTTAGGTCAGCTTATGCTTCAGTGCTCCCCTCAAACTCTCTCAAAGAAGAGAAATATTTTCTCCAAATTCCCTGGAAAAATGCTCAAGCTCTTCCTTCAAGACCTGCCTCCCTCATTCAAACTGTTACTCAAACAAGCTCTTTGTGTACCCACTGCCCCAGAAACAAGGATCCACTTCAGAATCATTATTTTTTTTGGCACCGTAAGGGGCCACTGTTTCATCACATCGACATGTGATTTCAGCTTAAGAACAGAGCAAAAAGATACTGAAATTCTCAGGTTGAAATTCCTTTTAACGTGAATATTTTAAGTGAAAGTCATTTTGGAATGCACAAGTTTTGTTTCTATTTGAGACAGTCACACAAGATCCTCAAATTCATGCCTGAATAGAAGGTAAAACCTTACCAGAACTATTCTGTGCCCACCAATGGTATGAAGGTTCATTTAAAAAAAATTAATTAAAAGCTCTTTTTCAACCAGCTTAGAGTGTCCACAATAAAAAAAACAATCAAACAAAAGGAAACAAAATCGAACCCAAACCCCACAAACCACCCAAAACTGTGGAGGCCTCTTAAAATTCAGGTTCCTTAAGAGTGACTGTCTAAAATTCTGAATTTTTGGAGACATTCCTCTGATATGAAGACATCATTATTACACATGCTGAACAGCAATCGTGAGGAGGACTAAATCAGCATTAACTTTGTGAATGTAGGTTTACAAGGAAGCAAGTTTGGGTTTGAGGCAGTTTATCACAGTGGGCACCAACATACTAAGAAACAAGGAACACTAATGCCATTTGCACTGCCAGCATTACTCCTGGCACCATGTAATTAATTAGCTTCCTGACAAAAAGATCCCTCAAAACTCAAATCCATGCACACTTCATTCATTAATAAGGCCTTGCTTTCTTGCCAAACAACATTCCAAGTCCATAGTTACTAAAACTTTGCACACTCCTCCACAGAAGGGAGTATGATTAAAAAGCAGCTTGTAGGACATAAAAGCCATGAGAGTGTGGGATCATCTGGTGAGAAAAAGGGGAATCACAGCAAGCAGCCTGTGACTACGACACCTTGAAAGCAAGTATTTATTTTCCCCAGTGGGAAAGGGGCCCTGGCTCACCACAGATGGCCTGGCCCACCTCTTGGGCTCAGTACACACAGCCCTGCCCAAGCCTAGATTAGCCTCAAGCCCCCAGTACATTATTTTGTGCTCTGTGCTCAAGGGTAACTACAACCAGTGCCTTGAGAAACTGCTCAGGAGAAAACAGTTCCTGGCTGCTCAGTGTTAATCGAAAAACAGAGTGAAGAGAAAGACAAGCAAACCCCCAGGAGGTGACAGGTAGAGCCTGACAAGTGAAAGGTTTCTGTCAAAACAGACCGAGGGATTCAGAACTGATTCAGTGACAAGCTGCATGTGGTGGGATCTTCCACCTTCTTCACAGGAGCTCTAACACCCGTTTCTCCTCAGACAGGTGTTAAAGACCCACAGGAAGTGCTCTGCACTACAACATACATGGTGTGCTGCCTAAGTTAGACAGGGCTTCCCCCACTCAGTACCTCACTGTATGATTTACCTTTTTAAGCTTTTTCTTGGCTGCTGGAGTGGCCACAACGTTCCCCCCCTCAGTTTTTACTGTGACATCATCAGGGGTGTCCTTTTTTTCTTCAGTAGCCACATCAGCTAAATTGGCAACATCTGCATCCTCTCCTGCTGAGCTGCCACTTTCTAACAGTGCTGCTGCCTCCTCCTCATCCACCAGCAGCTCATCTTCGGATTCCAGGAGTAAACTGGGCTCGTCTTGCTCTGCCTGTTCCCCACTTTTGGCACCTGAGGGCTCAGCAGGATCCTCTTGTTTCTCCTCTTTCACTTTTTCTTCTGTAGTGCCACTTTCAGGTTTCTGAGCAGCTTCTGTTTTAGACTTCTTATCACTGGGAGAATCTTTGCTGTCTGGAGAATACGTTCTCTTTCTGTAAAGAACAAAGAACACTTGTTGCTTGTAAACTTGGAGAGAGCCCAGAAATTACTCAAAAAAAAAATATATTGTGTTTCAGTTCAGGAAATGGAAAGCTGGGGGAAACCTGGAAGGACACCATTCTTCAAGCATACAAAAGGTTGCTGCAAGGAGAAATTATCCTTACAAGACAGGACAACTGTTCGTGGGTTTAAATTGCAGGAAGGCAAGGCTAATTAGGGACTGGAAAGGATTTCCTGAGGAGCCTGAGAGGCTGTGAAATCTCCATCCTTAGAGGAAGAAGGTAGGCAGCATATTAGACACAGCTCATCTCCGGGCACAACAAAAACCAACTTGATCTCAAAGCTCACCCGACTCTTTTGTGCCATTTCCGTGCTCTGAATAAGGTATTTACATATTTCTTTTAAACAACATTATGCTTTAACAATAGGAAATTACCTGGTTTTATCCTTTTTCAGCAGCTCAACTCCTTTGTTGGGAATCTAAAATAAAGTTAAAGAACTCTGTGAGTGACAGCAGAGTAAGATTTACAGGAGTGTTGCAGCATGAATCCAGAAGCACAATGCAGCCAAGTGCTCCCAGTTACATTAACCCACAGGGACTCTTGTACCACACCCACCTACCAAGCCATTAGTAAACTAATTTCAGACAGGACCTGACCAACCTAGACATACCCTGCCTTTACTCACAGTAATTATCAGTTATTCAATACCAAAGAAATAGGATATCCTGCTCCAGAATATTCACATACAATTCCTCTTTTTAGGAACTGATACAACGTGGTGCAGGCACTGGCACAGATCAGTCCTACTCTGTTTTCTCCCTATCATGAGTGGAAAACCTTTAGCAACCCCCCACCACTAATTTATGAGTTACTGAACAGGGAATGTCACTTGCAGGCAGTAACACAGAAATCTATTCAGGGCATTGCTGAAGTATTTGAATTTGCCATTGAGTGTTCATTTTGCTGCATGAGCATGTGCAACAGTAAGATTTCTTCATATTCCACAGCAGAAACCTGATGTTTTCAGAGTCCAAATTTCTCCTGCTTTTCTACCCGGTGTTCCACTCTGATGGAGAAAGTTTTATACCTGCAGGAGCATTATCCTGGTGTTATGCACAAAACCCCTCAGGAACCTGTCCCTCCCTTGTATGAACTGCACATGCAGAGATGCAGTTCTGATGTATCATAAGTTTTCACAAAGCTTATTAATTTTCAGAGGAGGGGGAGAAAAAAACCCCTCCAAATTACAGTATGTTCTAAATGGAGCCATTTTAATTAAAATCGACACAATTTACTCTAAAATCTGGATTCTAGAAGTTGTTTGGGTTTTGTTTCATCTGAGAGAAAAATCCTTTAACTTTATTCTAGGCCTCTTAACACAACTCTCGTGCCAAGTAATTGCATTAAGGAGCCAGAAAATATTAAAGCAAACCCCTTCATTTTACAAGCAACAGTGAATTCTCCTAAGTGATGGCTGTCCTCTACTTCACACCTTCAACTGCAATTAAAAAACTAAGAACACTTCCTACCCTTAACACCAGCTTCTTGTATTTCTCAGATAAATCCACTTTCACACATCTGCCTTGGAACCAAAGTGCTTTGTTGGCACAATGCTCCACCATGGCCAAAGCATCTTCTCTGGTCTCCATCTCAATGAAAGCCTGAAAAGATTAAAACACATTAAAAAGGACTGCAAAACACACAACACATTTGCAGGCAAAGCTACTGAACTTAAAACACAGCATTTCCGAACACTGAAACAACAGTAAAAGGTTCAATTACATCTGTCCTCTCCAAATACTTTAAAATTTATCCAAGTGCTCTATAACTCCAGCTTTTCAATTCAGTACCACCTGTGCCATAGACAGTTCTGAAATTAAACAGGCTTTTAAATAATCTGCCAAAAATATCACCATAAAGTAAAATATGATTTAAATAAAAAAAAGCATCTGGACAGTGAAATTCTTATTTAATGCTTATGTACTTGGGAATTCCAGGGGAGAGGAGAAACTACCCTGGTATTTTATTTTTGGTTTTTGAGAGAAGCCTGAATCAAAAAGGCAGCAGTTGCTGGTCTGTAAGCCCAGCTTTTGGAGGAGTTCCTCCTCGGAACAAACCTATGGAACACTAAGGTTGCTGAACAAGATTTAAACAACTCCATGAGCTGGAGTATCCTTGGCAGAAAGCTGAAACCTGTTTCTGCAGCCAGCTTAGACAGCAAGGGTTTTCATTCTGCCAGTGAAATAAGGTCAGGGAGTTCTTCCTAGGGGTCACAGAAAAGATTCTAGTAATTTTTCACTTCACAAGTGTGGCATTAAGGGATTCAGGCACTCATCTCTTTGAAAAGGCAGTGGAATTTCCTATTTAACTCAAGGAAGCAACAAACTGGGACAGTAAAGCTTAAAAAAATTAGAACTAGTTTCAGCTCCTATGTATTTACAGAAATCACATCCATGCACATCCAAAACATTTTACTACACACATGCAATATGCTGCCTTCAAACCTTTCTTTTTCAAGCCAGAGAGCCACAGCAGGACTGCTTTTGTTTAGTTTTAAAGAATGAAAACTAAAGGGTAAATGAAAGAAACATGGAATAGTGGAATATTGTTGTTTCATAGGTAATGGTCTTTCAGCCCTAAGAAAACAGTCCCAAGGCTCCAAGAAATCTGCATAACCCAATAATTAAGCCTCAATGCTAAAATATCTTTTTCCCAGCTGAGGCCTGTTCCTGTTTTTAAAGCAGCTCATGTTATAGGACATTTCACAGGAAGCTCCAGAGCAAAATCCCACCTACACAGAGCCCCCAGATCATTTCCACCACCCTGCTGGAGCACAAAGTCTGCACACAAACCAATTCACGGCACAGCACTTCCTCACAGGTGAAAACCTCAAGTTTCAAATGCTCACACGTGTTCCCAGGTGAGTTACCTGGCTTTTCATCCTCATGAGGATGTAGTTCTTGATCTTCCCGTAGGGCTCAGCCAGTTTGAGCACGGCGTTGTCAGAGTACCCCGAGTGTGGCAGGTTGCTCAGGTGAATCACACGGCCGAGCTCTGGTTTGGGGGGCTCAGTCTTTTGGTCAGGTTTACCCTCAGGTTTCTGGAATTGAAAGGCAATGATGGTTTTTTGAAGACATACTACATAAAATATACATGGATGACTGTCCCTTGCTTAAGCTGATCCAGCTCAGAAGTACAGAAATTAGGAATAACTTATATGCAGCCACCTCGCAACACTGACTGCCCCAGATTAAAATAAGGCAATGCTAAAAAAAGCAGGAACGTTTTACCTTTATTCTCTTGTATTTCTGTGACAAGTGGACTCTGACTGGTTTACCAAACACCAGGGCAGGTGTTGTTGAATAGTATTCAACTGCAGCCTGGGCGTCTTCGGTGGTCGACATTTCGATAAATGCCTGAAATAACACAAAATGAATGAAGCACTGCTCCTTCAGGACTCAGGGCTTTTGTTTCACATATCAAGCTCTTCACTGCTTTCTTGTCAGAACAGCTGCATCAAAAATGGGAACTGCTTTTTGATTACAACATGCACTGACCTGCAGAACTTGGCATGAATTTCACATACTTTATTTAGGTGCACAAACAGAACTATTTGGTTTGTTTACATTCCACCTAGATTTAGATGCAGAACATTAAATTGCTTCCTGCTTTTTCTCTTTTATGATACTGGTTTTTTCCACACTTCAAAATACGACACACTGTATAATACAAATTGAGACCAAGTTTTCAGATTATACTGAAACAAGAACAGCATGTGGTATTGTTGAGAAAGCTATGAACAACCAGCAAGAAGGATTTTTTAATATTTAAGTGAAAATGCAGTAGGTACAGCATTTCTAGAAACATACTGCTCCTTTCCTACAAGACCTTGTGGTGAGGTATCATCTCACTTGGTAGCTGAGCAAGTGTTTTACAAAACCCAAGCTGAGTTACAGCCACCAACCAGCCCCCCCAGCAGTGACACAGGGCCCCAGCTTACCTCATTGATTTTGTTTAGAATCAGGTGATTTGTAATTATCCCAAAGGGTTCCACGAGCTGGAGCAGCTGATATCTCAAGTTCTTTCCCCTCTGGAAATCCATGATGTGCACAACTCTGCTTGTTTCCTGTTGAAGACAAAGCATGTGATCACAGTATGAAAAGATCCAAGTGTACCAGTAAACTTAAAGAGCCTGTCAAGGCTCTGTTTGATTTGTATTTTTTTTTTAATTTTTAAATCTTCAGTAGTAACCAAAACAATATGCACATAGAAAAGGCTCAGAACTTCCCACAGCTTCATTAGAAAATGTTTAAGAAGGTTCTGTACAGTTTTGGACTAAACATTTTGTAGAGTCCTTGGCACAACAAACCCCTAATCTTAGGCCAAAGGTTCAATATTTCCACATAAATGCTAAAATCTCACTTTTAAAGACAATCATTCAATTAAAAAAATAATCTTAAGAAAGCAAACAAAAATTATATAACAAAATATACGAGTACAAAATATATGGGTACAAAATTAATGACTTTTTAATACTAACCACTCTGCCCTTCTGCATGTGCCTCGGTCCTTGCATATTGCCATTGCCAGCTCCTTTAACAAATTAAAAGAATGAACAAGCTCAGTTCAACCTGCAAGACTGGGATTAACATGTCTCATCACGAGTTCTTAAGGGTATAAATCACTTGTAATATCAAACCACAATGACATCAAGTTTTAAAAACTAGAGATTTCATTACAGCTGTGCAGAAACAGCAGAGAACAAGTAAAGCTCGTTGGAAAAGAAATCTCTCCTATTTTAGAATAGGATTTGCCACAGCAAAACATCTCTGTACACAAAGGATGTGAAGTCTCTATATCTAAGACACCCTTTTTACAAGTAAGGGTTTAATTTCTAAAACATCACCAATTCTATCACAATGCCCATTTTACTAGGAAACACCTGAAAAAAGCCTTTTTGATCATTTTGCTCATAGTCAAGTTGGAAATGTTTTAAAAATTAATGGTATTATTTTAATGAAATTAAGTATGAATGCATTTATCATCTAAAAAATCCTATGAAGTGTCTCAAATACTTCTACTCTGCCTGAACAACCAGGTACATTAATTAGTTTTGCTCTTTTAGTCATTCAAAGTATTTAAAAGGAAGTAGCAACATCAGGCAAGAACCTGATTCTTAGCCTCCCTTCCTGAGAGGAAGAGGCATCATCCATCTTCCCATTTCTCAGTTGCTATTCACATTTATTTCTCAAATTCACTTGAAATTAGGGGGAAAAGCCACTCAGGGCATTGAATTTCGCAAGTTTCATCCAAAGAATTCCAGCAACACGTGGCTATTCCCAAGATAAGATACAAAAACCTCCTAGGGAGGAAAAATCCAAGTCCCAAACATGTTAGAAATCACCAGCCTTAGAACAAATGAGTTATTAACAGAGTACCAGGCTTTGGCCAGGGAAGGACTAAAGTATTTCAGTTCTACTGCTCAGAAAAGTGTTTTCTTTGGTTGTTCTCAAACACTGATAACAAAACAAGAAGGAAAAAAAAAAAAACTAGCAAGAAGTTAAGCCTCGTAAAAGTAGGTGCTTATCAAGGTTACCTCTGGGCCCAACAGGGGGTCCTCCAAGGTGGAATGGAGGTGGGGGTGGTCCCAGAATTCCTGGGGCAGGGTTTGTGGATTGCTGCAACATAAAGGGATCACCCCTGCAAAGAGAGGAAAACACACTGGAATTTTAAACCAAAAAACTGTGTGGCTTTTGTTCTCAAAACCCCCTAATTTCTGCAGAGCTTCAATGCAGACAACTTTAGCTACTTTTACTGCTGCTCTTCAGCTAAAAACCAAAGGAGGAATCCTTTTGGTGTGTTGTTTCACACAAATTGTTAAGAACATCCTCTGCTTCAAATAAAAAAATTATAAATACTTCAAAATTAATTACTACTTACATTCCATGTCCTGAATCACTGTCAGGATTCCATTCAGGGTATCTTAAAAGAAACAAAATTAAAAGAAAATATAAGAAAAACAATCTCCTCTACCTATGTAACACCTGTCCCAGAAGCTGTGATACCTGAAGATGTAACACAGCTGAAGCACAGGGCAACACTGGGCCCACTGCAAGAGCCAGGAACAGCACTGACACAAGTGCTGTTCTTCAGGACAAACTCCCTACACTGGTTGCAGAGTGTCTGCCAAGTTTTATTTCAAATTGCACTGTTTGTATCACAGCAACAAAAAAAAAAAAAATTTAGAAGTTGGTCCCAGTGACTACAGTTACAACAGATTCTCAACCACTGCTAAAATGTTACATATGTTTCTGCAAGATTTCAAGGTTGTGAACCTCGATCCCTTTCTGTGCATAGGATGCTCTCAAGTTGGTTTTATTCCCTCTAAGGCACAGGTTGGGACCTGCTTTGGGCAACATAATTGACCATTACTTAGAATCCAGAGAATCTCCTGAGCTGGAAGGCACCACAAGGACCATGGAGTTCAACTCCTGGCCGTGCACAGGAACCCAACAATCCCCCCGTGTCCCTGAGCCTTGCCCAAAGGCTCCCTGAGCCCTGGCAGGGTGTGTGCAGTGCCCAGGCTGACCCCAGTGCCCCGTTACTGCAGGTGGGTTCATACATTTCGAGCAGCAGCTGACAGCGGCGGCTGTGAGTCGCTCCATTGATGTGGTGGTTCCACTCCTGCAGCAAAGTAAAGAATTCACAATTAACAGCCACGTATGGCAAGTCATTCTAACAAGCTTCTCCTCTAAGCTGAAGTGCTGCAGACACACAGACAATGAAATCTTTTTGTAGTGCTTTGAAGGGCCACTGACACTGGACCTGCCTCTTCCCTCCTAAGCTGGGGAGCAGGTGTGTGATGGGAACTGCGCTGGCTCCTCCTCAGAGTGCAGAGCTCCCTGCAACTGCTGCACCACGGGCACGACTGCCCTGGCAGCCTCTGCAGCTGAAGGCTGACTGTTTGTCTTGAGTCATTTCAGAATTTCCTCCCCTCTCTCTGCTTCGTTCCTCAGACTTTTACAGATTAACTCGACACTCAAATTTTTAGAACCACTAAGAGGCCAAGAAATTGCAAGGAATTCAGAAAGGAAAGACTAAAAGAAATGAAAGTGCATAGCTAGGACAAACTACAAGTATACAGGTGAAATATAAAAATATGTGACCTTTTGAGGGGAATAAAGGATGTCTAAATGGTAAAAAGGAAGAATAGTGGAATTAAACCAAATCATCCAGGTAAAACTCCTCCTGGTTCTGGCTTTAGCATTAGAAAGGAATGAGGGATTTCTGCTTTTTCTGTAGACTGTTTTCCAGTTCTGCAGCTTCCTGTTCTCTTAGACCAACAGGCTTATTTTGGAAATTCTGATTACTACTTCCTTCTCCAGTTTACCACAGTGGTTATACTGTTAGCACATACTGGACTTCACAGGCTAATCACAACTGAAACACTGGAACTGCTTTACGTGGCTCTTCTGTTTCTGCTCAGCACCCACAGGGGATTTTTTCCTAATCCCTCATTTTTCCTGATTTTTGGGTTCTGCCACACTACAACCATTCTTCTGGATACAGTGAGACACTCCCCAGGCTTACTGTAGTGTTTCCATGTTACATGCCCACCCTGCACTTTCCACAAAGGAAAAAAACCTGGATTTAAAGTCTCCCATAAAGTGTTGCAATATCACTCCAGGATAACATGGAGCAAGATGAAACCTTCATCCATTTTATCAAGATGGAAAACGAGAGCATCGTTTTTTCCTGTTAACTGCACAAGATGCTCTGCAGCTATAAATAATTAGGCTGGCAATTAGGATAAAAAAAATCCCACCAAAACCCCAGATCTATGAAACATTCAATACAAAGATTCTTTACTTCAACACTTGCTAAAAAGTGTTAGCACTATAAAAAACCCAGTCCTTTGGACACCAAAACCCCTCTAAATTTGGGTACAGAGTCAGTAAAACCTCAATGGCTGATTCTACCAGACATAACATGCTTTGGATCTGTTTTAACACATAATTTAAAATTATTCTAAACCGACATAGAAACTGTCTGCAACTCAGAGGCAAAGTCTGGAAGATCTAATTCTCATTATACTTCAAATGCTTTTAAACTGGCAAAAAAGGGAGCTCTGACATATAACTTTGGATTTTTCTCCTCCTCCAAGGAATATGATGGCTCATCTATATTAACTTTTTATTGAACAATTCTTAATCTGGATTCCCTTTACTGCCTGCACCCAGTCAGAAATGTCCCTTCTCCAAGGTTTTGGGGCACCAGGTATTTATATTTACACTCGTTAACACGAATGCCCCATGTTAAGGCAGAGAAAATCTGAACTGAGTTTCTTCAAACCTAGATTACCCTTTGGCTCAGTTGATACCAGTGAGAGGACACACTGTTCCTCAGGAAATTAGGCCAAACTCGAGCACCTAATTTTAGCCAGCCATCTATTAGGGCCACAGCCAGGTTTTCCCTCCGAGATGTACCACGGGTTCAAGTGTTTAACCTCCAAACTCATCTCTTCATGTTCCATCAGCCTTTGTCTGGCAGGGAAAACAATCCCTCCACATCCAACACCTCGTTCCTTGATAAAGGGATCAGGATTGACAAAATGCCTGAAGTATTTGGGGCACAACTGACTTCACAGACAGAAAACAAACTGGGTCTTAAAATATGTACACAGCAAATTAAAGAAGTAATTAAGAACATCATTAAAATAAAAAATTGGACTAGTCTGCCAGTTTAAGTTATAGTGAGGGTGTTTAACCCCCTGTTCAGGTTTAAAATACACACTGCTTTATCAAACAGCCTTAAAAATCTACAATATTTTATTTGGAAGTGGGGAAAATGAGATTTTGATACTGCAGTCATAAGTTTACATTGTCCCAGCTAAGAAAAGCATTCCCTTTCTGCTTTCCAGAAATTTCAGTTTAGATCGGGTTCCTTTAAAAGTCAAGTTTGACTTGATTTGATTTCATGGGAGATACAAAATAAGGAATTCTGTAACAGTTAGGTATGCAAAGCAGAGGAAAGAAGGAGAGAAAGAGAAAAATTCTTGTGGTGACATGATTTCTGAAATTAGAAACAAAGCTTAAACTTGGGTCATAAGAAACAGATGATCCAATCTCAAATAGTTTATGGTGTACTAGCAGTTTAAGTCAAAGTATATTCCTACAAAAAAAAAAAAACAAAAACAAAAAAAAAGGTTTTACATGTTACAGAAGAGGTCAGCCACAAGTTATGCTGTTAAAAGAATTTGGTATTTCTCATACCTGGAGAGCTATTCCAGTGTGGATCCTTTCAACAGATCTGCACTCCAAAGCACACTAAGAACCACAAGCCTTTAAAACAAAGAGCTAAAAAGACCCCTACTTACAGGATTACTGGTTGCCATCGTCAAGGGCCTCAGAAGTTTATGTTTTCAATCTAACCCAATGAAGTCCTTTTACAGAACTGAGCATGGCAGCTAAACTGTTAACACTTTAACCTTGTGTGAAAATAAACAGCAAATACAGGAGACAAGAAACCCAGATTACTGTGATTATTTTATATAAAAAGTAATTAAAGCAACACAAGTTCATAAACTGTCAGATCAGCTGGAGCCATACAGCGTGTGCTCTAAAACTGGTTTGATCCTTTCCTTGCAGGGACAGAATAATTCTCGTGTTTCAAAAAGATCAGATGTACAGAAGCAGCACTTTTTTGAGAGGTAACTGTAAAGAAATGGTTAGTAACAGCAATTCCACATTGTATCAATTTTACAGTAATAGCATGTATTATGTTTTCAATTGAAGGCCTTCAAGCTAATTAGCCACTAATTGTGACAAGAGGGGCACTGTATTAGCCAATTAGCCAATTAAATTGCCTAGTACACCGAAAACCAGCAAGATGAGTAACACTGGAAAAGCTGAAAGTGAGAAGGCTCTGAAAATAACGTCTGAACATAAACAGGCCATTTTGAGTAACCTGCTCCCTTTGCAGAGTTGGACTAGCCATGGATAACTAAGAGGGAAGTCTCAGCATCACCGAATACACCCGAAGATCCACTCCACTTGTGAGCCGAGTAAAGAACACTACTAGGAACACAGAGCAGGATACTGCAACAGCAGATTGATTGCTCGGAGAGTCTACAGGGATAGATGCAACATGTGACAATAAAAAGTGAGTCTGAAGTGTTCTAAGAAAGTTGTGAAAAAAGGAGAAAAATGACGACAAATTTCAGCCATAGTATGAGATAGAGTGTTAAAGTGAAATTAAAAAGGCAAGAATGAGCTAATCTAAAACGTGGCTTTTACTTTTGCAAATAAGTTCCAGGGCTCTACATTAACTCTTTCCCTTTGGACAGGGAAAAAGCAGAACTGTGCAAGAATGCATCTTAACTACATATAAATCAGCAATCAAGACAGATGTGGAGGAGAGCTGAAACTAGCTTCCAGAATGGCACAGTAGATACACTGCAAAAAAACCCCAAACCAACAAAAAAATAACAGAACCCACCCCAAAACTGCTTGAATGCCAGATGTTTGTGGTTAAGAGAACATGTAGATGTAAAATATAAATAAGATATCCCAGTAGATGATAGCTGTTTGACTTGAAGTTAAGCAATCTGGGCAAACAAAATACATTAATGTAAAGCCCTGGTTTACAATGTTTGTTAACAATTACCTTGCAAATAAACCAAGTGCCTTTTTCACTCTCAAACCAACTTTCAGATCATTTCAAAAGCAACCAGGCTATAGAAATCATTAAAGAAATAAGTAAAAACAGAACAGAAACTACAACGTAAAGGAAAATAGAAGTATCTGGTGCGTAACTCACCTTATTAGAATGAACTGGCATATCACATATAGAGCACAGATGGGGATAACCCTTCGGTAAGAATCCATGGAAGTCTTCAATATTGCTATTTGGAGGAGCACCTCTCTTTTTCTCAAAGAGAGATCTCTCGGGACCAGGACCACGACCCATTCTGTCATACTCACTGTCAAATTTATGATAGTTATGCGAAGTCTCACCATAAAAAGATTCATCCCTACACCTTTCTCCATCTCTCAATCTGTCATCTTCATAATCCATTCTGTCATAATAACCAGATTCTTGAGAACGACTTCCATGGTCATAGTCAACCACTGGGTTGAGACTAGGACCACGATCATCAAAGCTATCTCTTCTAAAATGCCTTTTTTCTTCCCAATCATCCCTAGGTACTCTGTACGGTGGTTCCCGTGTGGATGATCTGCCATCTCTACCATAACCTTCTTCAGCTCTCCTCCTTTTAAGTTGTAGAAGGATCTGAGGCAAGTTTTCAGGAGTGATCTTGTCCTCGGGATAGCGACTCAGTTCATCTAAGTCTCTAGCAGACAGACCAAAGCTGGCCAAAATGTTAGTGGCCTGGTCTGCATCTCCACGGTGCTGAGAAGACAAAGGGAGCGGACCTCTACTTCCAATGTTAAATATAGACTGCAAATTATGGGAAGAGGTACTACCAGAAGACAGTGCACTATGAGATCCTTGTTGGTTCAATGAAGAACTCATTCCAAGATTCATTAAGCTAGCAAGGCGTGCAGTACCCTGGTTCATCCTTCCAAGAGATGCTGGCATATTTAAAGACTGGGTAGCAGCAGCAAGAAGGCCTATTCCTGCAGAGAGGTCACGCCCATGACCTTGTGAATCCCTACTCAGAGATGACTGCTGGAATGACTTGGACATTGTAGAACTAGAGCGTGTCTACTTTATGGATCAAAAAAAATTCCTTTTTTTTAATATAGTTTTTTATAGTTTTTTTTTTAAGATGGCTGCAAAGAGAGCTCACACTAGAAAGCTAGGCAAACTTCACTTCAAAAACGGTAACGCCAAGAAAGAGGATCAATAATGACTGCAGATCTTCTTCAAGCTGAGAAACACCAGACAATTCTGTAGAAAAACAAGCAGTTTTAGTCATAAATCCCTTTAAACAGATGCAGTTTTAAACTTATGCATCATGTTGATCTAAAAAACATTAGAGATCTCAATCTTACAAGGCTTTTATCACATAACAGATTCAAGAGGTACCCAGAGCCTACATATATTATTGCAGATAAAAATACAGCAGTGTTTCCTATACATACTCCTTCCACAAAAAGCTACTTTCATACTGAAGACAAGTGAATTTCAGAAGTGGCTGATGTCTAAAAGCATCTGTAAGTTTACTGACATGTAAGCCTTGATCTCTGGTTAATGGTTTTGTTCATACCCTACATTACTGTACTGTGTCTGTGAGAAGACCACAAAAAACTTAAGCCCATAGAATCCAAGATGACTTTGGCATATAACACATATTTGAAAATGAAATCTGTACCACCACAGAACAGGACGAAAGGAAGTTAAAAGTAACTGAAGTATGGGCAAAAAGTTTCTGCTCTAAGATCTGTAAACAAGACCAAACATAATATTCAATCTTTATGCAGTAAAATTCCAATTACCGATGTGAAGACAGATGTGAACAAGAAAAACAAGTTTTACATTTTGCAGGAAGTAAACAAGACCTCTTGTTCCAATTGCAGTTACACTGCTAACAGCATTTCAGAAGTGATTTTTACTCTGTTGTATTGCAGCTGTGACATCAGCTGTTCTCTCAGACTCAAGCAAAACAAGGTCAGGCTTAGTGCTGGGATGGGAGACCCAAGGAAAACCCTGCTCCTGAAGGAAAAGACCCCAGGTGAGTCAGGAGATGGCACATCACCCCAGACAGCTCTGCCTTGTACCAGCACTGCCTGGCTCAGGCCTGACACCATGACCACATGTGGGAGTTAAAGATCCTACAACACTGCTCACAAGAGAGGGATCTGCCTCATGTCCCACTAAAATACTAACCTGATATTCAAATATTTGGTTCCACTGCATTTACTTGAGGTTTTAACTAAATGCTATTAATATCCACAGTATATTCTTTGCTGCAATGGATATAGTTCATAAAGTGTTTTGGTTTTTAGTGCAGAGCAGAAATAAACCATAACACTTCTCCCCCATCCTCGGGACAGACACACAAAGTTTAAAGCAATTCAACACAAGTGAGAACATTCCACCAGGAATTCCTTGTTCTTGGGTCCCCGACGCTGGAAAGCCCTTCCCAGTCTCCGCAGAGCAGTTCTGCTTCTCCAGCACTGCCACTCAGGAGCACATCAAACACATGAGCACTTGGAAAAGAAACAGGCACACACTGCACAGCTGCAAATGAAACCAGCTCCCAAGAGAACAGGGGGAATGGAAAGGATAAAATGAAAGCAAGGACTTTCCCTTGAAGAGACCAGTTCTGCAGAGGGCAATGGCTCTTGTACTGGAAACAGAAGGAAAAAGGTCAAGGTTAGGAGCAGCTCTCCATCCCCACTGCCTGTTCCAACAGGGCATCAAGTTGAAAAGCACCTGGGTTTTCTTTCTTGGTAGCAGTAATTTTACATAAAATTATGCATTTATGTAAAAAAATAATGGATTCTATGAAAAATACATAAAACACACAAACCTCACACAGCTCCATCTTTGCAAAGGAACTCCTTTATACGGTATCCTGCATGCTCTGTTGTCAGTACATCTAAAATCATATTTCACCTACGTTTTTAAGATCCACATATGCTGGAGTCAAAATAACCTTAACTGTGTGACATTTGGTTAAGAAAAAGAGCTTGAGAAAATTGGGCATGGCAATAAGTTTAAAAGAGTGTGAGGCAGAAGACAGAAAAGCACTGCAGAAAGCTTCAGAGAACAGTAATACAAGAACACGGGGGAGCAGATGAGGCAAGTCCTAAGGGAGATGTCCCAGACAAGGGGGCCCTACTGAGGACATCTGAACAGAACCCATTTAGGAACTACATGGTAAAAATCAAGACTTTTGAGTTCAAAAATGAGAGAAATACTAATATTCACCCGGGTACTATGCTTTATCTTACATTCATTCAGGAATCTTCAAAGTACTTTATTACAATTTTTAAAATTAATCCCTACTCCTTATATTTTTACACAAATTTCCTCCTAGTTCATTCACACCCTTATAGAAAAGTCTGAAGCTGAACTTACTGGGTTCTTCATAAAATCAAGTGCTCCAGAGGGCTTTGCAAGCTTGAGCCTGCAGCGATTCAGCAGACACTCCTGTGGCAGGAGAGGCTCAGCGTGCCCTGCTCTTAGTGCAAGCACCCCACTAGTCAAGTTTCTACTAAATCAGGAAAGTTCTCCACTCTTCCAAAACACCCTTTCTCTTTGAACAGATGCTCCCTAATCCTCTTGTCACAGCTTTCCATTGGCAGTTCATTGTCTGCTGCTCTGGAGATTAGCAGGGAACAAACCCCCCGGCATCCCCGCCTGGCAGGGACCCCGCTGACACACCACTGATCCCACACCCAGCGGGCTTTACAGAACCACACCGTGCTCCCGCTGCAAACACCCAGGGAAGGAGGAAGGGAAAAACGAAAATAGGAAAGATGGGTGAAAAACCAAGACAAAGACACAAAGAAGGACAATCTTATGGAGAAGCATGAAGTGGGACAGTAAGACAAGTGTATGATGAGGACAGGACACAGGCTGGCAGTTGGTGCTAGTCAGGAAACTGCCCTACACCTAATTGGGCATTTGAGCGGGGTACTTCAAAAAACAAGTGATTTAGCCTCAAAACCCCACTATTTATCATCTTGCAATGGCTGCTGTACTCCACTCTAACCATCCCCATTCTTTAAGATCAGATGATAACAAAACAAGGTGGGGGGAAGAGCCCTACAATCACACCAAAGGACGTTTAACTTCCACATGGTCAGGTTTAACGGGATTCTAAGGCAGCACTTCCTGTGCTGATCACTCCGGAAAGATTCCGGGGCAGTATCTGATAGAGACAGGTTCCCATGGAGCAGGGCCAGCCTTGGAGCGAGGGTGCCATCAACTGAGTCACAGCAACAAGACAGGTAGGACTGAACAAAGCTGCCTCCGGAGCCAGACCCGAGTTAGTTGAAAGGGTTATGCTAATTGTTCTCCGTGTAACTCCAGCTATACTGGGAACAGACTTTCATATACAGGTTTTTTTAAGATCTGTGGACAGAAATCGGCCATGTTAAGATTTGAAAATATATAATATAAAGCAATCGTGAAATAAGTTGAAAGGCAAAACGTCATTGGATTTCCAGACAAATGTGGACAATGAAAACAATTTATACCTACAAGTTGCAAAAGAGTTTTCTGTAAAAGCAGACAACAAAAATAAGAAATTTGAATCCTACAGAATACACTGCTACCAAAAAAAGGCCCAAATGAGGCTGATTTTCAAACACTATAGAAGGTTTTCCTTTTAGTGCAAAACTGATCATAAACTCTTTTCAATAAAGCTTACGGAACTCTTGCTCCAATATTAATTTTGTCGTAAGAACAGTTTAATTCAGTGAATTCTTGGAACACACTGATCACGCTGAACACGATAAACTTAGCTTGTCACCTTTTATGGAACACCAGTCCCGGGCTCCCTATTCCTTCTGCCACTCTCAGGGGGTTTTAACCTATGCATAGTTGTTATAGTTTAATGTTAATCTTGTTCTTACAACTCATCTTTTACCCATTCCTCTTCCACTATTTATAAGAAAAAGGTCTCAAAACTGTTTTCACTTTCTACTCAGTTTCACTTCAAAACACATTGAATTTAATCAAATAAACTCGATTATGGTAAAAATATGAAATAATCTACAAGCTGAAAAGCACACTCTGGGTTTGTAAGAACTCAACACTTTGGCAGGTCGTAGACCCTTGGGAAAAAAGTTTTAAAGAAGTTCTACATCCACAGTATTTGCTCTTTGGATAAAAACCTACAGGTTTTCCTTCTCCTTCCTTGGGCATTGTACTTGGTGCAGCGATCCTTTCTGCCATGGAAGAATTCCTGTTTCTTGGCAAAACTGGCTGCAGCACATCATGGCAAAAAGGGTTATTGATGGAAGAGATCTGGAATTTGGACAGGCAGCTCCCCAGGCTGCTCCAAGAATTAATGGCAGTAAAAACAAGAACTTCAAGGAAATTAGAAGCAGATGTTATCTAGTTGCTGAATGACCAAGTACAATGGATTTCAAATCTACAGGATTACACAGAAAAGGCCACTGTCTTTCCAAAGGCAAAGGAGGAATTGCGCAGCAACCTCAGAGAAAACGCAGGTTCTCACCCATTTCAGGTCCCAGTATTCAGGGTGGTTATTTAATATCGCTGTTTCACATGCAAGAAAACAACTCATCTTGTTCAACCATCTTCAAGGGTCATGCCCTCAAAAACTTCAGGGGCACCTGGCACACAGGATACACTCGCTTTTTTTGGGCACAGATTAGACAGTCTGTTTCAGGCACAACAACTGGAAGAGTTTCAATTCTTAGGATTATGTTTAGCTTCATCCCAGTGACTTCCTTGATCAGAGAACATAATAATCTGAGATCTGAAGTGACTGGAACGGAGGATTGCTACAGAACAGAGGAAAGGCATATTTATAAATGGGAATTAAAATGACTACTTTAGCAATTAAGAATTTTAAAAGAACTTAGTTTTCAACATCTGAATGCAGAAAGGAACACTAAGAGAGGCCAGTTTCCTATTTCTGCTTGTTATATAATTTAATATATTCAAGCATCCCTCTTTTGTAAGAAGTGCATGAAAAAAGCGCATTTATTCCTTTACAGAAACAGAAGTGAAAAAAAAAAAGAGTCCAAGGAATAGTACAGAAAGAACAGAGAAGGCAAAACTGGTGTATTTTTAGAGAGGGAAAGTAGTAACACCCAGAAACAAACAGATAACTGCTGTCACGTGTGCTGGTCACCTCTGTGGCTTCCAGCCATTCCTCCCTACTGCTTCCAAGCCCACTGTGTGTCACCTTCAGAGCCCCAGCTCCACAGCAAGAGGTGCACACAGGTTCCTGCACCTGCAGAGAGCTCTGTGGAGCCAACAACAGAAGGGCTCTGCCAGAGCCCGGCTCTGTGTGGAATGCTGAGGGAAGCTCTGACAGCACAACTGGGTGTCCCTGCCCCTGGACACCCAGGAGACACTCGCTCTCCATTCCCATCAGCTCTGGGGACCAACAGCCCCACGGGCACCAAAACTGACCCCAACACAGAACACACCACAGTTTTTTCACAGAAACAGGTCATACAGAAAGTGATCCAGAGACAGACCGAACCAGAGTACCCACTGTAACAGAGAACCAATTCTACTCCTCTTCTTTTTTTTTTTCTTTTTCAAAAAACCAAACAGAACAGTTTTGTTTCTGATCTGGTAAGTGATTAAAAAGCCTTCTGACTAACCAGTCTGCCTCCAGGCATTTGCAAGGCTGGGATAAAATCCCGTTCTTTCCCAGATGAAATCCTGCATGAGGCTGCAAGATGTATTTTAGCTGCAGACAAGAATCAAGGGACTGTTTGACTGGTTTAGTGCTCAAATTAAAACTTCTTGTTTAAGTTATGACTGCACAATATGGTACTTAACCACTCACAAACTAAATTAGTTCAGAAATATTGTGAGGTATTTGCTTTTGTTTTCAAGACTTGTTGACTCAGAGCACTGATGAAGAAAGGAAGCAACACTGAGGGCACAAAAATACACTCATTAATTAACAAACTGAACAGAAAGAATTTCTTTGCAGCTTTGCAACAGCTTCTCCCCCAGATTTGCTGAGCTACTCAGAAGCCTGTCTATAGATTACAAAACACCTTTGCATTCACCAAAACTTTCAGCAGAGTCATATGCAAATCCCAGGCAAGGGCAGCACAGAGCATTTCTTTATTTCTCATCAAATTAATGAGCACTTTATTTAACTGCAATCCTGAATAAACCACGTGGCAACAGTATTACAGTTGCATGGAACTTCAGCTTGGAGCCTCAAAGGCTGACTCTTCTTTCCTCCTTAACTGTTTTTTTGTTTTTTATCTTTAAGAACATGGATATTCGCATTTTGAGGATGCATTTAGGAATTTCTGTGGGATTCTCTTCCCATCATTTAGTTCTGGGATGTGTGTAACAGCTTTTGCACAGTGCAGAAGGGCAGACACTGGGTTACCCTACACAAACACATATCCAAGGTTCGAGTGTCATTTCATTCTGCCATGTAATTCAGTAATGAATCATTTGGTGGGATTTCAGATGGAATTCAAGACAGAAGTTCATTAATTTCCTGGTAATACATTAGAAATGTTAATATGTTCCACTACATTTCAAAAAAATACATAAAAATCTTAAATATATAAACATATGTCAAAATATAGGAAGATTAAGTCACTGGATCAATAGATTCTTTATAAAGAAGTATGGGGAAAAATTACCTTTTCTTCTTCTCAGAAAAACTCCACAGATTGCTTTAAGAAACTTATGTTTTCAACCAGAGCTGCTTCCTACTTATCTGACTCTAGGAAGTCAGGACCATCTACAGCTCAAAAAACCTGAGGAATTTAAGGCTCACTAAAAAGAATAAAGACTATTAAATTGTTTAAACCAGTACCAGATACTTTTTTCCCAAAGGTCTGCGTCCTGGACAGAAAAAAAGCCACACATTTAGAATCCGAAGGACGGTTCAGCTTTCTTTCAACAGCATAAATGCCTCATTTATCATTTAACAAACCAGTTCTTCAGGCTCCCAGAAAGTTCTTTTCAACTTCTACTTATTTTCAGCATAGATGAACTTTGTATCTCGTTACTCTGACTCTGGAAACAGAGTATGCACATTAAAAAAAACCGAACAGGAAGAAAAAAACAACCCCGCAGCTCGATTTGTTACCAGGGTTTGAATTATATGAAAGTGAAACCGAGTAGAAAGAGGGGTCAAACGGATGCCGCACTGTCAGGATTCCCGATTCATTAATTTTTAAGGCCAGATTAAGATGAAAACGCGCAGGTTTTGACCCTAACGGAGCGGTACGGGGAGAGGGAGGGGCCGCGGCTGGAGGCGGCTCGGGGCGAGCTCCGCGGGGCCAAAGTGCGGGTGCGGGCGGGGAGGGGGCGCGGGGGCTCCGGGGCTTTGTTCGGGCCGGGCCGCTCCGCCCGCAGTGCCGGCGGGGGGCGCGCGGGGGCGCCGCGGGGCCGCGCGCCGGCCGGGCCTGCGCGTGACCGGCTCCGCCAGCGCGGGCCCGCGCGCCCCCCCGGCCCCGCGCGCTCCCGCCTCGCGCTCCCGCCTCGCACCCCCAAAACCACCCCTTCGTCCCCCCCGCGGCGGGGCCGCCGCCGAGCCCCGAAGGGGGTTCCCCGCATGGCGGCGGGCGCGGCGCCGCTCCGCTCCTACCTGCGGGCCCGCGGCAACGCAGCGCGGCGGCGGGGGAGGGACGAACGGACGGACAGACGGACGGCGGGGCTGAGGGAGGGAGGGAAGGGACTGAGGCGGCTGCGCGAGCCCCGCGCGCGCCTCGCCGCGTTCACGAGAGCGCGCCCGCCCCGCTGCCCGCTGCTCGCTCACGTGCCCGGCGGCGGCCGCCCCGCTGCGTCCGGTAGCGCCGCTGTGCCCCCGGTGCCGTGCCCGCGCCGCTCCCGCCGCCTGCCGGGGCCGCCCCGCCCGCCCTTAAGGGGTGTGGGAGTGGGGGGGGCGCCGCCACCGCCGCGGGTCTCGCGAGAGGTGGGGGTAGGGGGGGCCCGCTCACCCTGCTCTCGCGAGAGCGCGGCCGCGCCGCGCGCCGCCAGCCCGCCGCCCGCGCGCCGCTCATTGTCCGCGCTCCCGCGGGGCACCATGGGAAAGGCGCGGGGGGCGGGGCGAGGCGGCGGCCACGCCCCCTCTTCGGCGGGCGGGGGGTGGGGTGTGCTGTTCCGAGTCCCCCCTCAGCCCCCGCCCGGGGAGCGGCATCGCCAGCAGCGATTTGCGGGATATCCGGGGGATCCGGAGTATCCGGGGGATCCAGAGTGCCCAGGGTATCCAGGGTATCCTCTGATTCCCGAAGCACCGTTCCCTGTGCCCCAGGGCACACACGGTCCCTCAGCGCCCGGACCGGACCCGCGCACCCAGCCCAGCCAAGGCGCGCTCTCCTCAGCAGGACGCTGGTGGCACCATCGCTAAAACAGTTAAAATTATGGGCTCCCTGTGACTCTGTGGTTCTTTAGAAGATTCTGGTAAAAAACCGCCGCAGCCACTGTGCGAGGCTTTGCTGTTCCTCTAATCCAACATTGCCACCTGGTGCTGGCTGAGGAGAGGTCCCCTTGCCTCTGCCCTCACGAAATCGGTGCTTTATCACCAAAGTACTCGTACAACTGGGCAATTATTTCTTATTTGGAGTTCTTTCATAGTGAATATCTTTATTCCCTATATAATTTTGTGGCTAAAGAACCAGTCTCTCCATCATCGCTTTACAAAGGGGAGGATGTGCGTATGAATTCAGGGAAATCTCCAGGGGAAAGGAAAATATCTGCCTTTTTAATTCATCGTAGGCTGGTTTTCTCTACGTGTGGCTGCAGAGCACAATGAAACAATAACGCAGAAGGTATTTTTTAAAAATGGGATTAGTACAAAATACGTGTTGAACAATACTCAGAACAATCACAAGAAATTCAGCTCTTAACAAGCTCAGAATAAAAAACAATTAAGTGTTTAAAAACAAGCACATAAATCTCAGTTAACAATCCTCCTGTGCTCCAGTACTGCAGAGCAGTAAAAGCAGAGCCAAGGTAAAGCAATCCAGCTACTTTTGCCCAGTAGAAGTCATATATGGATTGCAAAATGTATGGTGCTAATAAACAGAACCATATATCGTGTTGGTGTTTCCAACATGCAAAATGCGGGTACTACTCCGTTTCCTGGCTTTATTTCAACGCCAGTCTTGGACTACATGAGTTTTCTCCCAATTTTCTTTGTTGTCCTTCAGTCAAGGCACCAAAGCCAGGGAGAGGTGAATCATTTTGACCCTTATTGATTGTCTTTGTGCTGCAGAAGGAGCTGCACAGTGCTGACCATCATCTTCCTGCTAACACAGGGCTGCAAGGGCACCCTGAGTTCCACATCCCGGAGCCTGTGCTCGCGCTGACCACTGGAGAAGCTTTACGACATCCCTGTGTGGTTTATTTTCCAGTTGTGCACAAAGCCTGGACATGACCCAGCCCAGAACCCCCCGTGCCCTGGGCTGATCCCCCAGCGTGGGCAGCAGGGCAGGGGGGATTCTGCCCCTCTGCCCCTCAGGTGAGACCCCCCTGCAGAGCTGCCTCCAGCCCTGGGAACAGCCCAGCAAGGACATGGAGCTGCTGGAGCCAGTCCAGAGGAGGCACCAAGAGGATCAGAGGGATGGAGCAGCTCTGCTGGGAGGAAAGGCTGGGAGAGTTGGGATTGTTCAGCCTGGAGAAGGGAAGCTTTGGGGTGACCTGACTGTGGCCTTCCAGTGCCTGAAGGAACCAAGAGGAAAGATGGAGAGAGACTATTTCCAAGGGCCTGGAGGGACAGGACAAGGGAGAATGGCTTCCCACTGCCAGAGGGCAGGGCTAGATAGGATATTGGGAAGAAATTCTTGGCTGTGAGGGTGAGGATGCCCTGGCACAGGTTGCCCAGAGAAGCTGTGGCTGCCCCTGGATCCCTGGAATTGTCCAAGGCCAGGTTGGACGGGGCTTGGAGCAACCTGGGCTGGTGGAAGGTGTCCCTGCCATGGCAGGGGGTGGGACTGGATGATCTTCACAGTCCCTTCCAAGCCAACCATTCTGTGATGGGGGAAAAGCAGGACTCTGAGAGCTGCAGGTGCTCAGCAGAGCTCTGGTAGTGCTGGAGGCATTCACTGAGCAGAGCTCTGCAGCCCTTCCCAGCTCCTCTGATGGGATACTCACCACTGCCAACACTTTCTCCATCCTTTCCTCCTGCCTTTTTGTACAGCACAACCAGGCCTACAAGTCCTACGTTCAGCCAAGATGAATATCATAGAGCTTTATTGCAGAGATTTTTTTTTAGGAAATAAGCCTGTCAGCATGTATTTGTTGTTCTATAAAACACTTGCTTTATGTGGCTGACAGAGCCCATATTCCCCACTTTTTGCCACTTTTGGAATTACCAGGTCCAGCAGCAGAGCCCCCTGGCACAGTGAGTGTTCCTTGGCTGTCAGCAGGCAGGCACCCTGTCCTGGGGCACCCATCTGGGATAGGGGGAGATCGCTGGGCAAAATGTAAACCCATGGGAAATTACAGGCAGGGTTTGTTCCCACAGAAACAGTGACATTCATGGATGTCATAGGTTTCAACTAAGAAAAAGCTTTTTTCCCAATAATCTTGAGTATTTTAACAATTATTTCCATGTGCAGTATAAAAACTGTGTATTAAGATCAGGATATCAAGATGGCAGAAAGGCTCATGGGTAAACAGGGATATTTAAAAATTAGGAAAGCCCTGAAAAAAAAATCTGCACTGCAATTCATTTTTCCAACCAGCACAGAAGCACCTATTTGATATAAAGCAGCAGTACCTGGGGAACCAGCCTGATGTGGTTCATCAACAGCCTCAGCCTACTAGCTTCAGCCTCAACAACCTGAATCCCCTGAGGCTGTTCATGCTCCTGAAGCAGCATATTGTCCCACAGCAGCCTGTGTCCCTGCTTCCAAGTTTTACTGGGATATAGACAGCACTGCAGCCACAGGAGCATCTACAGCAGGGTAACTGTGATGTGACCAAAGACTACCGAACTGTTTCTTAAAAACTAAAAGTTTTAGCCTAAAACACTTCAAAAGTCTGGATTATTTCACAAATACAGACTGTATGGAATCCAAATGGAAATGAGATCCAATCTCTCATCTCCATTTTGGAGGGAGCAATACACTCCTTTGTTCTGACTTTTGCATTTAAACACCATTTTTGCCTGAATCCCTGATGACAATCTTGCCCTCCCCACCAGTTTCCATGGATTTTACATATTCATCAGCCTTTTTCAGATGTTTTTTGCGGGCTTCACCTCCCCCAAGCCCAGGGAAGGGAGTAGGTGCTGCACTGTGGCCTCTCCAGTCTCCAATAGACAATATTTCAATGTGACTTTCAAAGCCTTATAAGATAATGAAAACCAAACTGAGCAAGTTTAAACACAAATAAGTTTAATTGAGGTCACATAAAATATATTTTAAACAAGCAGTGAGAAGGGATTAACAATTAAAGAACTGTACAGATAATTCTTGTTATACCCTGCCCCAAACTACCTCTGATGTTTGAAATTCCTACATCCAGATCCTGAAAATAAATAATTTTCTTATAGCCCCGTTTCAGTTGTGGGCTTCCAAGGTTCCATCTTCCCAATCTTTTCCAAACAGGGATTTTCAGAGCAGCACCAACAGCTTTTTTCTTTTCTTCTGGCCACTCCTGCTGCTCCAGCAAGCCTCAGGACACTTGCCTGTAATTCAAAAAACCAGCAAAGACAGTTAATAGGAGGATCCCTAAAGACCTCAAACTCAACCTTTACACTGAGCAGTTGAGTAGCTGACCTTCATTTTTATATAAAAGATGTACAATAAACAAAGTGTCTGCAATAGATTTTTCAGTTTTCTGTGTGTTGTCTGCATCCAATCTAGGCTCTAACTCCACAAGCAGGAGTTACTCCACTCTCAGGCATGCAGAGCACTGCCAAAACCCAGCACCACCGAGCACCAGGACGGCACCGGCGGTGCCAGGAGGACTCGGCAGCACCTTTCTCTCCCAGCAGCATAACACTGGCACAGGCACCGAGCAGCCACAGGCAGCTGACTACCACTGGGAGAAACAACTCAAAACTGAGGGTTTAAAGGACTGAAGGAAGTGGAGGCACAAAGTACAACCCTCTGGTGATGCCTCCTCTCATCAGGGTTTCCTCCAGCAAGTGGAATAGATAATGTAGGTTAGGTAAACCTATTGCTGGATAAACCAGGTTATTCTTTCCACCCTCAGGACCTGAGGCTGCTGCAGGACCTCGATTACAACCAGAAGAGGACGTTTAGTTTACTAACAACAGAACGGAGTGTTTGCCCATCTCCCCTCGTTGGCTCACGGTCACAACCTCATCCACGCTGCTTGAGACGCTCCCGAGATCTCCCTGTGTCTCATGCACCGGTTATCCCTTTACATCTCCTCTCCACAGGCACCGGTGTTCTCCTGGAGGGGCCTCACGCGGCTGTTCCCCCTCAGCACAGCTCGTGGGAGGCGGCTCGTGCGGACCCGTCACCTGAGGTTTGTTCCCTCCGAGGTTTGTTCCCTTCGCACGGTTCTCGGCCACCCTGAGCTCCGGGTGCGACCCCCTCACACGTGCCCCAGCCTCCCATCAGGTGATGCCCTAAAGAGAGCACAGGAGAAACGCCGCTAAAAATACTCAGTTAAATCTGTATTCACAGTTTAACACTTGGGCCCTGCCGTATGAGAGGGATAAAAAGATATCAAACCATAAGCACGAGGAGCTAGTGCCGGACGGCACAGCGGACAGAACACCCCCTGTGCCGAGGGACCCGCGGGCCCAGCGCCTTCCGGCCGGTAGAAACGAGTAAATAAAAAAAAAAAAGTAATATTTCAGGTGGCGCTCTCCGTTCCCGGAGCTCCGGGGCGCGGTGAGGAACCCCCAGGTCTGCAGCCCCGGTACCGGTGCCTTCCCTCCCCCGCTCCTGTCCCCTCATGGCGGCCGCGGCGAGCCCGGCGCCTTCCCCTCCCCTCACTGCTGTTACCTCATGGCGGCCCCTCATGGCGGCGGCCCGAGGGACGCCCGGCCCGGCCCAGGGCCGTTCCCTCCCCTCGCGGCCGCAGTTCCCCCTCACGGCCGCGGGTCTCTCCCATTCCCCCACGCGGCGGCGGGCGCAGAGAAAGGCCGGGCCTCCCCGCGCGGCCGAGGTGGTTCCGCAGGCGCCGCCCCGCTCGCCTCAGCCGCTCCCCCCGGGGCGGGACCGCCCGGCAGGCGGTGGAAAAACCCTCGGTAATGGCAGGCACAGGAAGACTTGGGCTGGTTTAATGATCAGCTCGTCCCATCCCCTGCCATGGGCAGGAACACCTTCCATTAGCCCAGGTTGCTCCAACGTGGCTTTGGACAC